AGTGTGTATTTTTCAACAAGATATGATTGTGGAATAAATACAATACAATGCCCAGGGCTCCAGATAATTTTTCAACATCAGGAGTATGTATTTCTTATTTTTTCAATATATGAGTACTGGAAAACCTTAAGAGTACATTTAGAGTGCTGAATGGAATTTAATGGTGTATCAGTAATCTTGTGTTTCGTTTCATATGCACCACAACATTGCTACTCTTGTGTAAACAGGTCAATGAACAATAAAACAATACTTTTTCAGATAAATACGACTGTAAATGATTCTAAGACCGTACACCATTGCTGTGGTGCGTATCTCCTACGTTTTCTAAATTATTTCCTACCGTATCGTGCATATGCATATTTTTTATCCGTACATACGCCGATACGGCCCTTATCTGGAGCCCTGATACCCCACTTCAGAAATGTCAGAAATTATAGTACAGATTCAAAATATAACTTTGATGCTAGTTTGAAGCAGTCCTGTTTTTGGTCACTGAGGATGCTGACCTGACACTTGTGTTTCACAACACGCCACAGTAATGAAAAGCCACCTGGGATTTATTGTCATGTCAAAAAAACAACATCGTTTTAGTTAGCATATTGACACAGAGCTACAGATAACGTTTTGGGTCATGGAGTTATGTATTTGCTCGTGTTCATCTCAACTGGGCATCCTAATTTTCCTTTGAGCAACCAAATAAATTGTACAGACCTCACTGAAAATCATTTGGGTATTATGCCATTTTCAATTTATTGTAAAAATATAATAAAGTTTAAATGTTGGTTTTCGTGTTTGTTATATATTTTGATCTGTAACATGAGAAACGATAAGAAGGACTGTAAGTTGCCAAGTTCCTGTGCTGAAATAGAACCTCTCAATATACCACAGTCATTTTATCTATTTTGTGTGTACACATGTAAGATCAAATTTTACCAAAATTCAAGTGTAACAGACTTAATAGCAATTGAGTTTTCACATAATTATATGCGTAATTTACGCAGATACACAGCTTATCTGTACCTCTGTGACAGTAAGGTGAGAGTAATTGAACAAGTTATCGAACTTCACATACATAGTCTGACTTCTATTTAACGTCTTCACATCCTTGTTCTCATTCACCAACAAAATGAAATGACAAATGATAAAATATGGAGTTATTCTAATTTTTCGAAATTGAATTAAATTATATCAAGCATTATGGCAAAAAGGAGCCATGAAATTATGTGCATGTATAATGAAGTTGTTATTCATTACACATCTTGTCATAGCATGTTTAACACAAACAAGAATGCTAAAGAATGATTCCAGTGTCAGAGAAACCATTCAAAATTATGAATGAAAAAACAAAATCAAAGATACAACTGGATTGTTTTCCAGTTAATATTGCCATATGAAACGTGTAAGTACATGATGTAAGCAAATCTACGGCATTTGTCAAAGAATTTAAACCTGCTTTCCCAATCATGATAATTACCATATTTACAAATTACTTGACGACAGTATTTCAGAAAGGATGGACTTAATTAATTTGCTGTATTTTCATAATTATATCGGTAGATAACAGGTGTATGTAGTCTTCAAAAACAACATGACTGAAAAGTGTGTTTGAAAAGTATTTCCATACTTTGAAGAGCCTACAGTGATTCAGACCTGACCATTCTGGTGAAGCTGTGTAGTGATCATACTCAAAGCAAACTAGCGACTTGAACCCATAACCACAGGAATTTGGAAGACATTTGAAATTTAATATTTGTTGTAAACTTTAAAAACAGGTAAATAAGTTGCTTCTTGAAAGTATAGATTTACGATATAATTAACCTACTTTAACCAAGAACTGATTGGTACAAATTGGTCAGAACCAATATACAATGATGAAATCACATCCAGTTCCCAAGAGTACTGTTACTAAACACTACTACAGCATGTCCATGAAGTAGGACAGAGGGTCTCAGGTGTTAGCCTACATCCAAGTACCATCTCCTCCCTTCTGCCCCTGTACCAGCCTGATCCCAAACTAAGTGACTTCTTATGAATGTGTGTAGTTCTTCAGTTTTATTACACTAGAGAGTTTTCAATTCATTTGAAACCCACATTTGTTTTTAAATAATGGGCCAAGTGACCCACTTACTAGGAAATGATAGGGTCAAAGGTGAGGTGAAATTGGGTTTAACGTCGTGCTTGAGAATATTTCGCTGATAGGGTCAAAGGACCCATATTGGTCAAGATGGTATCATCCTTTATCATCTTTGTTCTGAAGCATTGCACTGAATTCTGAGCTATCTACAACATACTAACAGTGGTGTGTCATCTTGCCAAGCACTGTACAATATCAACAATGACAAATAAAAACAAAAATATGTCCGATTAGGTAAGTTTGTTTTAAAGCATCAATATTTCAGTGACATGACAGTCAAATAACCACCTCACACCAGCTTTAGGTATTTCTAAAATAAAGTAGTGTTTTATAACTCCTTCATGAGTCAGTTAGTTGCACTGCATTTTGTCCAATATGATGCATAAGATAGGTATCAATATGATAATGCTGTTTTTCCACATAAAATACACTTCTAAACAACATTTCAACATGTTCAAGGCAAAAAGTACAAAACAATAAAGGTGCTAAAAGGATTATAATTGCACCCAAGCAAAAATATAGCAGTGCTAAGAATATGAAATATGATTCCCTTTGACAAGCCTTAAATCAGTGGCAACAAACATTGCCACTACTTTGCATATCTAGATAATAAAACCAACCTTCTCCGGTGGTGGTGGGGTAGCAATATTTCAGCAATATCACGGCGGGGGACACCAGAAATAGGCTTCACACATTGTACCTATGCAGAGAATTGAACCCAGGTCTTCGGAGTGACGGGCGATTGCATTACCCCACTAAGTTAGGCCAAATAAAAAATATGTTGTGGTTCCCATTACACCTCCTTAAAATTTAGGGTAGGTAGGGAGGATTTTTTTTAACATTTTTTTTAAAGAAGTCAAGTACAAACTAATAACACATTTATCAATGTGTAATTGTTTATTCAATCAATTGCGGCCATCATGTTGACTTTCTCTATCAGAATGACAGATGTCTGCTGGCATCTGGGAAAAACATTGATATCTGAAAGCTTATTTTGCTTTAAAAAAATAGGGATGGCACCACAATTCAAGGGTCGCTCAGGTAATCGGAACCACAACATTTTATTTTAAGCCTTACCCGACTGCCCCATGCCGCAGTTTAACATGGATATGCCACTCAGACATTACATACAGACTTTGAGCTAGCCTAGTTTATACCTGTACAGTCAGGCTGGGAAACAAGTATCAACTTATATGACGCAAAAACAGGGCTTGTCACAGACCTGCTATCCAGGAAGATGCTCTATCCACAAGACCTGGTATGCGGTCTCAACTAGCAAAATGGCCATCAAGCTGTTAGCATGATCAGTACATTGGTGTAAAGTTTAAGACTTGACAATAGTATTGGTTGATTGGTGATCATGCTGAAAATGATGACTGATAAAGCACAATGTATCTCCTGGAGACCTGTGTTCATTCTGCATTAATGTAACACAAGAGATAGTTACAAAATTAGTTCCTGGAGAAGGAATATATTTCATAAGTATTTCCTGATTTCTTTTGTTAAGCACGAAATTGAAAACTATGCCAACATTTAGGGACATTGATAAGATGTATGTTCAAAAGCAGGAACTTGTCAAGACCTAATATATGGCCCAAAATGTGTCGCACATAAGAGTAAATACTCCCAAGTTCAAAAATAAATTTCCGAATTTCTCAGAATGTATGAATAAGAACATTAAGATAATCAAATTTGAGTTAGTATGGCTTTTAACAATATTCCAGCAATATCACGGCAGGGGGACACCAGAAATGGGCTTCACACATTGTACCCATGTGGGCTACCCCATCGCCCCCAAAATACTGTTATAACCAACTCAAAGAGACCACAAATTTTAGTTTCAAATAACTTCAGTTTACACATTTCAATTCAATGTATAGCAAGTGGCTAGTACCAAAATCGAAGTTTGTTATATCCATTTGTTCTTTGTAAACATGTTTACATACTTCTTTGATGGACCACCTCTGTGGTGTAGTGGTTAGAGCGTCCGCCCGGAGAGCGGAAGGTCGCGGGTTCGATCCCCGCCCGCGTCATACCAAAAGACATTAAAATATGGTACTTGTTGGTCCCTGTCTGGCGCTCGGCATTAATGGGTACAACAAGGACGAGTCAGTATAATGTGTCTGAGTGGGGTATTCATGCTTCACTGCAGTATGGTATCTCAGTGGGCTAGCACTATAAAACAAGCTTCAGTCTGGGCTAGTACAAGCAGCCGCACATACACATACACATGCATGCACGTCGTCATATGAGCGAAATATTCTCAAGCACGACATTAAACCCAATTTCACCTCACCTCACCCACTTCTTTGATGGGCAATGACAACAACATTAGAACCTATGTCGAAACGCCGCCTCCACATAATAAAAGAAGTTGTATATCCATAATAATTGTCATTATTCTTCATGTTTACATAGTCTACTGTATCTGCATCTTACAACCTGTGCACACTGCTGTCGGCATCAAACCCAGGTCTTCAGTGTTTGAGCGAGTGCTTTAACCACAAGGCTACCCACCGCCCTCTAGTTCTGAACGATATATACATGATTTTTTCCTCATTGCTGGACAAAGGCACTTGGTAGTATGTAGGTTAATTCCAGAAAAGCTGTATGGATAAACAAACAGTTAAAGGTCTCAAGTTAGCAGTTTACCATCAACACCAACAAACACACTGCTTCAGACACATCAACCAAGGCTATATCTAACATGTGACCCATATAACAAATAGTCCACTTAACTAACACTCTTATCTGACATACTTACCCTACCTACCTGCTCAAACTCACGGCAGTAATAATCTCCAGTACTTATCCAACAGAAACACACACCGTAATCCAATCAGAATATCACAACATAGATGATTACCATTTTTCTCTTGTTTGTCGCCCTTTTCTGTTTTATCCTGCTTCTGTTGTTGTTGTTGCTGTTGTTGTTGCTGCAGCATGGCAGTGTGTGAGCGCAACGTCCTCGTTATTCGGCGTTCTTCCTTCTCCTCTTTCGCTTCTTCTTTCTCAACCTCTTCTTTCACTTCATATTTCTCCTCCTTTGAATCTTTGCCGTCTCTCGAATCCTCTTTAACAGTATCGTCTATTTGAGGCTTTGGGGCTGCCTCCCGAAATAATTTTTCTCGTTTGCCCTCCTCTGATGGGGCAGCACTTGCTCGAGAGGACGGCCGAGAGGATGCGGGACTAGAAGCACGGGATGTGTTGTGTGATGGTTGACACATCTCTGTAAGGACAGCCTCAGCCTCTTTCTCCTGTGTAGGGTTCAACACGTAAGGCAAGGCTGGCTTAGTTAGCAGCAGTTTCAAACAATTCTCATCCATGGAGGAGGAGGGGGCAGTCTTTTGGGGGATAATAATTTTCAAAGGTGGTACTTTCGGAGATGATGACCGACTTCCTTTCTCTGACTTTGGTCGAGGTGAATTTGGTCTGCCATCTTTACTGTCTCTTAATTCTGACCTAGTTTTCGGAGATGACGGCCTGCTCTCCTTACTGTCTCTTAACTCAGATCTTGTTTTTGGAGAAGACGGACGACTATCCCGACTTTCTCGATCTGACCTTAACTTTGGGGATACTGGTCGACTTTCCCTACTCTCCGATCTTGTTTTCGGAGAATTAGGTCGGTCCTGCCTAGACTTGGGAGACAGAGGTCTGGAATCATGCTCAGACCGTGTTCTAGGGGACAAAGGTCGACTCTCTCTACTGTCCAATCGAGGTCGGGGTGAACCAGGTAAGGACTCCTGATCCACTTTTGGCGACACATTGTCTTTTTCTCGCATTGCAGAATTAGTTTCTGAACCATCCAATACTTTGAATTTGTTTGACTGAGAAACACTCACATCACCATCGTCTCGATTTGGCGAAGATTGTAGTTGCCACCGAGTCAGAGGTTTATGCATTCCAACAGAATCACTTAATGTGTTGGAACCCAAACTACCTCTCCGTTGAGAGTTATGATGGGCATGTGAAGGAGTCCGGTCAACTGACGAAGAAACAGAACTAACAGAACTAGAAGGGAACAAGTTGTTGGCCCCTCCAACTCCTGACGAGGACGAGGATGGGGGCTGAATATTTTGGGATGTGGAGTCTGAGCTCAACCGGGAATCACCAGGATCACCAGAATCTTGTGGAATGTGTTGATTATTTTCAACTTGGTTATTTTTCCCTACAGTGTTTTGTATCTGATCTTCCTCTTCCTCCTCCCCATCACTTATATCCTCAAAATCGCGATGGGGGGAAAAAGCTTGTGTTTCCTGAGACCTCAGTTTATACCGATTATCCTCCTCTACACCAGCTCCTTTCTCTGTGTTCTCGTCCATTTTCAACCAGCTTGTCGCTGCTGCTGTCTCGTCTGTAACTGCTTCTTTCCTTATTAACGTTGGTTCTAAGTGTGGGTCATACAAGTCACTATCTATACTCGACACTGGACTACCTGGTGGCGAACTGTTTTGATCGTTTGTTACCACTGTTAAACTATAGGATTGGTGCCTAGGTAGTCCTTTATACTGTGGCTTTGTTGGCTGAAATTTAAGACACAGCCGCGGGGAGCCAGTTTTCTCGGGAGACTTTGGTAGAGCTGGTATGAGAGTTCTACGTGTACTGCTGCTGGAGCCTATTGCACCTATATCACCATGCAACTCCAAATCTGAAACAGCAATAACGACAATGTCAACGGGCAATGAAGTGAGTGACAGAGTATGGTTTTACGCCGGTTTTAGCAACATTCAACCAATATCCCATCAGGGACACCAGAAATGTTCTTCAAACCATGTGTGGAATTGAACCTGGGTCTTTGATATGATGAATGAACGCTTTAGGCATTAGGCTACGCCACCAATCCCCATTGGCCATAAAACACTAGATAAACTGTCTCAAATCACATGACTTTATTAACCTTGTTTGCTCACATATTTAATGAAACTACATCACTATCCCTTCCAATATAAAAAACACAGAAAATTATGTGTAGACTTTAAGAAATTCTTAAAAACAAACACAGAGATTTGTCTGAAAATATAACCAACATATCATACCTTGAATATCCTCGGGGCGAGAATCTTCATCCTTGTTAGATGAGGTACTTTCTGGCGAGGTAGGTGAGCGGGCATCATCGATACTGGAGCTATCGCTACTTGAGGAGATGATCTCCTTTCGGAGGACTTGTTCTATCTCGGCGGATGCAGCCACGTCCAGGGCTGTCTTACCCTTGTTGTTGGCCTGGAGGGGGTTGGCACCGTGCTTCAGTAACAGTTCCACAAGCTGGAAAAGTTCTCAAAGTCAGCCATTGTTTGTAAAATATCACTTGTCCGATTGTACCAATCAAATGACATAATGTACATCCATAGGATTTCATTTCAGTTGAAATTGGCTCTCATGTATTTAACATATAAACAGAGTAAGTGACTAAATTAGTTACTTTCTGATGCTAATAAAGAGGTTCAATGCAATATCCAGCTCTTACTTAGCGCCACTCTATAGTAATCCAGCTATATGACGGCGGTCTGTAAGTAACTAAGTCTGGACCAAACTATCCAATGATTGACATCATGAGCATCGATCTACAGCTGGGTCACAATGACTTGCAGTGAGCAATCCTGACCACTTGATCCTGTTAGTCGTCGTTTATGACAAACATGGGTTTATTGAAAACAAAATCTAACCAGGGCCCTTATTCTCAAAATGTTCGTAGCCTTAAGAATTCTTAACTTTGATCATAGCCAATGTGTTAAGAATTGGCTTAAGAAGTTCTTAGGGCTACGAACGTTTCGAGAATAGCTAGCCAGGTCTTTAATACAGTTGCCAGAAATCAAGAAATCAGAAATTTAATACAGTTGCCTCAAACTCCCCATTGAGTATGGAATAGGACAGCAAGTGAGAAACAAACATGACCCAACCTTAATCACATGTTCTGGGAGAGAACTGCACTTAATTTTTCTTGATGTCAATTGCAATTCACATCTAATTATGTCAAATTCTTCTAATACAATCTACTGTGTGAAATTGTATCCTCATACAAATAGTCACATCTAAAATTGAAGACTTGATTTGTCTCACCTTTGGATGTCCGTTTACAGCTGCGTCATGTAGGGGGGTGTCATCATCAAAACCTTGTACGTTAACATTCGCACCTGCTTTCAATAGTTGCTTGGCAACAGAAAGCATACCTTGATTACATGCTTCATGCAGTGGTGTCCACCCTGTCACAAAACAAATATCAATCTAAACAATATGCTCAGAAACCAGAGGTGTTGTGTGAATTTAGCTCAATCAGTACTCCTTGACCTTTCACATACCCAGAGTGCACAACACTTTATTCACTCCTACAATATTTTCCTGACAATAATTAAACTATAAGCTACAAAGGCTCCCATCATAATATGAAGTGCTGAAGACCGTTTCTTATATATTTTTCTATTTTTCAGACAGAGACACTTGATGCTTGCAAAGCAAATACCAAAAAACAACATTTCTCAAGGTGACTACATAATTGAAACTGTTATTGCCCAACTGCACAGAGATCTTACAGATACACCCCACAAAGGGTGTGAAATAATAAATCTGGGCTTCAAGGAAGCAGTATTTAAATTATGACCATAACAATTTGATACAATGTCATTACACAGCACAACTAGTCTTCACCATGTTCAACAACATAATCACTTATCCACTAAAGAGCTTCAAATTCCTATGCCTAAATCACCAGGTACATACTGAACATGCCATATATTTGAGAGATCTTTGCATCAGTACACATTTATAGAACACTGGGGAGTGACTGAGTAGATGAACCAACCTGCATAATCCTTTACATTAACATTAGCCCCAGCTTTGATGAGCCTCTTTGTCTGCTTGACATCGCCCCGTTTGGCAGCAGTATGTAGAGCTGTTTCACCACGATCATTACGCTTATTAACTTTCTTATCTATGGGAGTTCGCTTTGATGATGATACAGGGGTGGTCGGAGATGAAGGTTTGGGTGAAGATTCTGAAAGTGAAAAGCATTAAGGAACTGTTAGATACCGTGCACGTGTGTGAACACAGATCCAAATTACATTTGTGACAAAACAAAGATAAAAGAGATCTCCCAATCCATTACATCTTCACTTCACACAAAAGAAACAATGCTGACATAACAGATATATAATAATAGAGAAACAAGGTCAGCATAATCATTCACTCCATAAAACATATGGAACATCAAAAACATAAATATGACAGGTGTACTAAATCAATAAAGCAACATGTTTTAAGTGCTGATGTACTATTGAATACATTGTCCAGACTGTCAACAGGAAGTGGCTTACAAATATAGGCTAGCTTTGCATTTCATGTAAGGGAGATAATCCATGCTGTCTCGACAGCCATGTTGTTGACAAGCATAAAATATGTGAAGCCAGCATACCTCAGAAAAAAGCTGAATAAACAATGAACAGCCCTTTGTAATAAAGTATCACTATAGAAATAATACTGATACTGTGAGTCACCTGCAGCATGGTTAATCTGACTGCAAAATAAACAAAGTCTTTTTCCAACTGACTGTTAATATATTTATAAGCATACATTTAAACACTCCAGAAAATATTTGATGAAAAGAACAATGACTTTCATTGTTTCAAAAATGATTTTTGACTGATACTGTTTCAAAGTGAGTCAACAAGACAAACAAATTCCAACATCTCTCACACAATGACACAAGCTGCAGAAATAACTATTAACATGAGTATTGTGTAGAAGAATTATTTGTAGAATAGAAACAAACCTCCTTGAGATGCTCCATCAGTCATTCTCATGAGCAGTGCCATTTGTTGTCTCTCGGAAAGTGGAACCGTAATACGTGATATGTTTCCTCCTGGAGTTCGAGGGGTGGGCATATTCCCAGGCTCAGGAGAACTGTCTGGTATTAATAATGCTCGCTTCCGTTTTGAAGTGATTCTCTTCTCTAGTAGGGAAACAATTCATCAAATAAACAAACGTTCTAAATAATGCTTTTTATAAAAACTATTAATTAACAACTAACTAGGAAAATACGGACTAACTTTGAACATGCCTACGCTGATGTATTCATTGCGTAAAAGGGTCAGAACACATATGAATTCAAATCACCAAAACCATCTGATGAATATACTTCTCAACATATGTTAAGGATGACACCTTTGATGAATATTTTGATCATGAGCTGATGAGTAGAATATATATTTGCTTATGTTTCTAACAACCAACACAGGTCTGTAGTTAACTTACACAAGATTCAATGTAAATGCAACATGAAAGAACAGACATGATTTGAGCATGTGTACTTGGATGAAGTATTGATACCCAAATAACGACAATACTAAATGATACACATTTTTTCCTCTGACATTATTATATATTGATAGAATACTGCATGGTCAGACAGTGCAAGCAATGAGAGTGACGATGTCAAACATATTCTGAATTTCAAGTATAGTTCAAATTGCTGTAGAATCAGACTTTGACGTGTGCAATGGCAATATTTTGTCAAGAATGAACCATTCACAGTTTCATCATCATGATCTATTTCACATATATGACGGCAGTCTGCCATGTTAGTCAATAGTCTGAACCCTGTCTAGTTAAACAGATTTCAGCCTAATCCACTCAGCTAATAATCATGATCCACATACAAAACACGACTGAAATTTAGGATAGAGCCGACTGGCATACATATTTATATAAATGTTTTGAAATACAAAGATGCATTGTAACAGTAACAGACATCAGCACAACATTGTGGAATCAAAGTATGCGTCAATCTTTCCTATCACCACTCACTTGTCATTATTCATGGACATGGAATTAATTCATCCCTAATATGCATCTGAATGTCATGGGCAGACATAATTCCCATAATTCACCAAATCCAACCGTCAACAACTCGGGGACTCATGTTTTTTTTCAAAGTAACCAGATTTGACATGGAGGAAACAACTTGTCAATTCAGATTTTTCACTTGTCTTGGATAAACAGACAACATGTTTTGTTTAACCTAAATGTACAACAAATTGGAACTCCAACTAACCATCGTCTTCCGGAGTAGCATCAGTGACCATCAGCTTCCTCTTCATGCCCTTCCCATCGGATTGAGGCGTCTTAACATATTGAGACTTCTCCTGGTGTAGCAAATACAACACACATACTGAGACAGTGCACACTCAAGAACAACATGATAGTCGCAGGGTGGACAACATTGGTAATACCTACCTAGTCACCCAGTAAACAGGTCATTCCAGACAACTACCTTATGTAACATACCTAGATCTGGTAAGAAAATAACTAGTCTCTCTAATTTTTCAACAGTCTCAGACAAGTGGCCGTGTCTGTACTGGCCTATGGTGGTACAGACTATGCATCAGCAAAATTGAGAGACATTACAAACCACAGCTTACACACCATCAAGAGAGACAGTAAATAGCTAACCTTTCACTCTTGTTGCAAGTTCACATCTGGACCATCTCCATTACTCACATTGACTTAAGTTACAAATCATCAGAGTGAGTGAGTTGGTGTTTTCGCTGCTTTTAGCAATATTCCAGCAATATCATGGGGGGAGAGAGAGAGAGAGAGAGAGAGAGAGAGAGAGAGAGAGAGAAAGAAGTAGAGAGACACCAGATATGGTCTTCACACATTGTACCCATGTGGGGAATCATACCCAGGACTTCAGCATGACAAGCGAACACTTTTTAACTTCTCAGGTTCTGGGCTACCCCACTGTCCACATGTCATCAGAACAACATTTACTTTTAGTTAGCCAGGAAATTCACTACAACAGCAGAAATGACATATCCACATATCCATTCTCCATCACATTATCTGGGATGCATTAATCTTCTAGTATGGACTAATGGGTGGAGATCATGATCTTTATTTCACTTCACTGACAGTTGTAACCCTCATTTTACAACATACTACAGTATTTGTTCAGTAAACTTAAGAATAGCACTGGTTAAGTATCAATGTATTAAATCACACCCTTACCTCAGAATATGTTTAGAAATTGTAATAAAAATATGATGAATATTATCAGTTATCCGACCAGAAATTAATAATCAAATAGTCATGCAAATCCCTATGGAATAACTTTTCACCTACCAAGTGCAACAAAATACAATCATAAAATACTTCCAGTCTGTCAAATTTTATGGAGTGATATTGTCTACATGAAAGTTGAGGTCAAGGTCTTGGTATGAGTCATCAGGATAGTGAATGTGGTTACAACCTACATGTGGCTCGGTGAAATCAGAGATGTCTAACCCATATTTATCAACATGAAAAGCCACTTGTACTAATTACATGTTTTGTAGAAGTAGTGCACGAATATATCCATTTGTTTTGACAAATCAAGGATTCATGGCTGACCTTCTGAAGTATACTAGGTGCCATCAAAACATGTGCAAAACGTGTTATGACAGTCTTATACATTAACGGTTAGGTGTTAAAAACAACTCTTCATCACAGTTTGCATAAATTTGACATAGGTAGATTTTTTCTACATGTGCATAAAACAGTGTTTTTTTCAGCTGTTATGTAAACAAATATGAAATTTGGGTTCATCATGTTCATGAAATGCATATTTTTGAACACAAACGTCTCATAATTCCTGGTTTACTTAGCATGGTTAGCTGAAAGTGGAGTAATGGGGGAATCAAAATCAATAATTGTTTGTTGCAAATCTTGTTCAGCAATACATACCTTTCTAGGAGGTGATTTCTTCTCTGACATGTCTGGCATGCACAGTATTTTATACCGTAAACCAGGCATGCAGAAGCTGTCATTAATAGTTCTTGTATCACGTATCCAAAATATAAAAACATCTGAAGACTGCTTGTGTCTTTCTTATGCTTGGCATCTGTGTTGAAAAAGCAGAAGCCATATTATGAAATACGAACAGCAGAAATATTTACAATTCATATAGCAATTTCCAATTTTCTTATATCTAGAAAAGACTGAGCTGAGAAGAAACACACATGATGTTATTTCATATAACATGATGTTATTTCATATAAAAACATCATTGTGGAATGATAATAACCCACATTTTAGCTAATTACACAAGAATGAACTCTACACAACATATGATATACCATGTTTGACAATGTACACATCTAGTAATGCATCTAATATAACTGATCACAATGATAACCACATCCTTAGATGAAACATGAAAAAAGCAAAATGTAAACAAATGATGACTTTCTTGAATATGTAACCTTTATCGGTTCAGGTGAATAATAGCCCACAATGTCCATGTTGATTGACTTCCATAAGAATCAACAAAGATGATTCAGTCAACAATACACAATAAATACAAATGACTGATTTCTGCAGTACTTACATGAAATTAACATTTACCCAGTATTACACTAAATAGTATCCTGAACAAAGATTGTAGGTAGAGAGGTGGAAGCATGAGGTGAGGTACACATGTATGATTGACATAATCACATTTCATGATATCACAACATGCACCATGATCAAGAAATGTCATTGTAAACCAGCCACAATACTCCCAAAACTGGAAATTCTACTTTACAGACATTATAACAGATGGATCAACAAAACATCATAAACAAAGGGGTTCAATCAAAATGATGAAAAGACCTGTAGAATATCCTTAGTCTGCACCAACATAAAGGAGGCAGATTGTTTATCTTCATCTATTTGAAAATGGCACACACCAGGCATATTTCACTATTAACTTAATAAGGACAAACATTATCAAAAGTTATGAAGTTCAACATTACATTATCATTCTAGAAAATAATAAAACTTGCAGCAATACAGATTATGTAACCCAATTCGTACTGTGTTCTTCATTTCATTAAACAAAAGATCTGTACACCGAACTGCACTGCAGTTTGTCTAGTCATGCAACTGACATACACGACTGTCATTCGGCGACATCAACTTACATATGCACTCTACATGTTTCGAATCACGATACATCAGAATATAGTGGACATGTATGCTTGGGTTTTTCCTCTAATATCACGAAAACAATAGAAATATTGTGTAAAATAAGGAATGAGTGATGTCACTCATAAGCGCCATGTCTTTGCAGGCACGCCAAAATAATTACATGAATAGCAGTAGAATTGTCGGGTCAGACAGAATAAGATAAACACTAAAATGTTTAAAAGTTTAAACACTTATATTATCCATATGTATTGGGGATTTTTGACGATCCTAAATTATTGAATAAAAAAAGTACGAAAACAAAGAGGATATTCATGGCTTCCTCAAAAACAGCATGGCGATATAGCTCAACAGTAAACAAACTTTTGACGTTATTATTGAATTAATTTCATGCAAATTATAAGAAAAAATATAGCATCTAACAGAGAAATCATTCAGGATTTGTGTACAGTTGTTATTTTTGCATTATAACAAAGGATAACAAAAATAATAGATCATAAAGTGAAGTACTCACCTTCGAAGGACGCGAGGCTTTTACTTTACGCGGGGTGAATAGTCTTGTTGATTGGCTAAGACGCAACTTCCTTTGCACTTGTAATAACATCTGTCATTGGTCAATTTTCGGTCATTGATTTTTCTACGAAAATGGCCATATGATTGCAAAACATGGGATAGTCAGTGACACCGTTTCGTTACAAGGGACTACAATACTGCAAGTGTTTCTAAACCTGAACCGCTTAGCCAGCGATAACATAACTGATTTGACCTCACAACTCATATGTTAGGTTAAACGAAGAATGTTTTCATCATTACCAGCTGATGACATCGTACACATTTTACGCTGGGATGTGACATTGAAATAAGAAAGAACGCATGTCCCTTGTCTACCAACACTGTCACTGTGACATTACCGCTAGGAATATTATTGTTATATAATTGCATGACCTTGCCGAGGGGTAGGGTCATTTCATTAATAAAAAGGGAACGTGAAGCCTAATATTTCGCATTTAGCATAGGAATCTCTTACAGGAAAATGAATAAAATTGGGAGAATTTATCCCTGGAAAGACGGGCTATTTATGATCAAAAGACATCCGAAAAATATATTTTCTAAAGGACCATCAAAGGACATAGCTAATCAGCAAAAGGAACATGTGTTTCGTTGTCATCAGTGTAGGAAATTACGAACTGTTGCAAGCCTACATTCATTCAACATTACAGGATCACATGGAATCTTCCATTCACCGAGAAAGGTTTGTGTTATATGACTTTTGGAAAAATGTAACAGTTTACAGTTTGAGTGAAAGTTCAGTTTCCCTGACCAATAGGGATTTAAGTGACTGGTCAGACTATTTGATTTAAAATGGCAGTGAATATCAGCCTGCACCATAATGCATTGAACTTTCTGCACTGAAGCACTGCACTCTGTTTTTTCTGTTTTATAAAGTGATTGTGAAATTATTTGATATATTGAAAAGGAACTGTTCAAATATAGAAAGATTTGTTTGTACTAAAAATACATGTATAATAAAAACATATATCCTTTGCTCATGCTGGGTTCGAATTGTTTCCCAGTAACCTATTCAATATGTAAAAAGTGATGGAAGGACTTGGACGGTTAGGCTTAGTGACGGGGTTGGTTGGAGTCTTACCCCTGACAACATAAATCATTGGTTCTTTAAGTTTCACTCACCGGATTGTATAGTCCTGATTTGTTCTTTTAGAGGCTGCCATCAAATAGGTGTAATATTGCTGACTCAGGAAAGAAACAACTCACAAAAATGTGTGATAAACTTCTGATGAATGAGTTGTTGACTTGTCCTAAAGGGAATATGACTTGATGTTCCCTCTGTGTGTCTGACTGTACAGTAGGGCGATAAAAGGCCAGACTTGATGACTTGGTCGACTGCAAGTCATCACACACAAACTGTAGATCAGTTCTCATAATAACAATCAGTGAATTTTTATTTACAGGCCACAGTGACGTAGTGGAATATTGTTTACTGCTGTGTTAAACACAAAAAAAGGAAATGCAACAGAATTCTAACATATACAGAGGTACAGATAAGCTGCGTATCTGCGTAAATTATGCAAATATTTATGGGAAAACTCAATTCCTATTAAGTCTGTTGCGTACAAGTACGCTTCAATTTTTGTAAATACTCAAGAGATTTGATGTTACATGCATACAACCAAAAATAGATCAAATAACTGGGGTATATTGAGAGTTTCTCTTTCAGCACCTGGACTTGGCAAGTTGCAGTCGTTCTTATCGTTTCTCATATAACAGATCAAATATAAATAACAAACACGTAAACTAACATTTAAACTTTAATATATTTTTACAATTAATGGAAAATGGCAAAATACCCTATTGCGTTTGAGTGAGGTGGGTAAAATATATTTGGTTACTAAAAGGAAAATTAGGATACCCAATTAAGATGAACACAAGCGAGTACATAACTCAATGACCCAATATGTTATCTGTAGCTCTGATATATCAGAAGTTTTAAGCTTGTCCAAAGCTGAATATAGTTTGTTGTACCCTCTGTATGGCCATATACCTAGACCTCTCAATAATATTTTCTTTCTGCAAAATGAAATAATTACCACAAGAAAAAACATGGAAATTTGATGCAGAGTGTTTTTTGCCACCATAATGGCATGTGACCTCCAGACTACGATTTGTTGATGTAAGGTTGGTGTTTAACACAGCACTCAGCAATATTCCAGCTATATAATGGCGGTCTGTAAATAATCAAGTCTGGACCAGACAATCCAGTGATCAACAGCATGAGCATCATTCTATGCAACTAGGATATGATGACATGTGTCAACCAACTCAGCAAGCCTGACCTCCCAATTCTGTTAGTCGCCTTTTGCGGCTCTGTGCATCACATATGTATGATGTCAATGTGAATGTGAGTTGCACTCCAATGTTGTTTGTATGTAAGGAGCTGAACTAGTTGAAGTACAGGTATTTATCGAGATCAGCAAAATATCTGTTGCAATGATGACAACATACTTTTATGTAGTATTACACATTGTACCAAACCAGAGGTAATGGATGTTGCTTTAGAAATACATGGTTGTCTAAAAGGGTTTATTTCTTTTTTTCGTCTTCCTGAAAAATGCAATGAAGGATGTTGCTTTTGTTTTTGCAAACACTTGCAAAACATTTTATAATTTGCCATGTGTTTGTTAAAGTACTTTTATCACTGACTTCATATAAAAAGTGTCATGAGGCATTTAGAATATTTCTTTAACACAGTGTGCTCCTGAGGCACAAATAACTTACTTTAATATGCCATTTGCACTTTAATACAAGGACTTTCAATCTACAGACTCACATGTTTGCAGTTACTGAATCACTCATTAACTGCTCTCATTAATTGCCTTAGAGTTCCCATGTTGTCCAACAATAGCACAATTAATCAGCCAGGATAAACTGACAGGCTAATGATGTCAGCAGTGCGCAGATAATTACTGGAGTGGAAGGATGGTGCATTCCAAATTGTTATGTTGTAAAAGCCCAGCACTCAGTAGTCAGTGGACCATGGAGTTGGGATCCCAATTACAGGACTATATAGACAGTGTTTGTGTATGGGATTACATCAGCAGATGAGAGAACATCATTATCTGGACTACTAATATGACTGGAATACTGGGGTGATTATCACTTTAGGTGGCAGATATTAATTTGTCTCCAGCTGTGAGCACAGGTTGTAAGATGCATATACAGTAGACTATGTAACATGCTTATAAAGAACAGATGGATATAAAGAACGGATGGATATAAAGAATGGATGGATATAAAGAAAGGATGGATATAAAGAAAGGATGGATATAAAGAACGGATGATATTGGTACCATCCACTTGCTGTATATTTAATCAAAATGTGTACTCTGAAATAAGGTTATTATGAACTAAAATTTGTGTTCCCTTTGAGTTTGCTACAACAGTATTTTGGGGGCAGTGGGATAGCCGAGAGGTTAAAGCGTTCACTAGTCTGAAGACCCGGGTTCTATTCCCAACATGGGTACAATGTGTGAAGACCATTTCTGGTGTCCCCAGCCATGATGTTGCTGAAATATTGCTAAAAGCGGCATAAAACCAAACTCACTCACTATAACAGTATTGTACTGTACACATCAATCTAATTGTGTCTTTGAAAGTGATCACGTTCATCCGTCTTCAAAATTAGTTCTCCTCAGAATTTGTCTCGAGTACTGTGGCCATGTATGTAAGGTGCAGTTTATACATTGTTCAGATTGTATATGACAAACATCAGTTTAATCAGTAATGAATGATGCTAATCCCGTAAGGTCTGTGTATTTAAGCTTGGTGTTATGATAATGACAATAAAGAAAAAATCAAAAAATCTTGTAAGGTCAATCAGTCAGCAGTACCATCAAACCTGGCTATAGCAGCAGGGTTAATTGTTGTTTAACACACTCAGCAATATTCCAGCTGTATAGCTGTGGTCTGTTGATAATCAAGCCTTGACCAGACAATCCAATGATTGACATCATGAGCATAGATCTGCTCAGTTTAGATATGTTGACAATCCACTCTCATGGATGCAAGGGTTGCTGAGCTAATCAGATGTCACCTTCTGAAACCGTTTGGTTTCGTTTCATTACCTTCTTGCTTCGTCCAACAACAGCCCAACACAGACCACAAATATTTCTTTGGTAGTATTCGACCCGTGAAGGTCCGGGTTAGAATATTGGCCTTCAGTAACCCATGCTTGTCGTAAGAGGCGACTAACGGGATCGGGTGGTCAGGCTCACTGACTTGGTTGACATGTCATCGGTTCCCAGTTGCGCAGATCGATGCTCATGCTGTTGATCACTGGATTGTCTGGTTCAGACTTGAATATATATAGACAGCCGCATAATAGCTGGAATATTGCCGAGTGCAGCATAAAACTAAACTCACTCACTCACTTTGGTAGTATTCCCTTTTGGGTGTAGATGTCTTGGCACTCAGAAATGACAGGGAATGAAATATTCACAGCAATAGAATGGGATAACTTTTATTGCCATAATTTATGGCAAGGAGGGGTGATGATGATTTTTATGCTGGAGCATGAACAATGTGAATGCCCCCACCCCCTAAAATTTACATACAAAGAAAGCGACACCCCCCTTGCATATCATGTACAAAATCAATGACCCCTCCCCTTTCCCATAATTTTTAAGTATAAAATATTAATATTTGTGTGCACAAAATTGCTGACCAACCCCCATACATGTGTACAAAATTGCTGACCTCCCCTACCTCCCCAGAACAAAATGGGTGACCCCCTAAAACTTAAAATCATCATCACCCCCTAGCCATATATTATGAACGGTCCCTTATCTACATTCAGAGCTGTATGTTTTTGATATACAGAAATGAAATATACTATTCTGAGTGTTGTCATTTGAGGTATAGACAAGGAACATCTGACTTTAATGTAGCATATGTTGTATATGGGAGAACACTTTTTCAGTATGGTACAGATGATATTACTTTATATGTAACATTAAGCCTTCGTTCTTTTTTGGTTTCTGTGGAATGCAAGTCCTTGTAAACCAATCCATTACTTCAATTTTTGAATTTTTAGTGACAATTGCTGGAGCCTAATATCTACATCTGAACAGGTCAAGATCAATATTTGCAAAGATTGGTAAAACTGCTTCCTTGTGGGCAAAGTTACAAACTAATCATGCTTTTACATATTACTCATGTTCATTTTTGAAAAGTGGAAAAAGTCCTACATGTTGTTTCACTTTCATTTCAGCGATATACATTCATGGTTATTTTTGTGTGTGGTGTATTTACATTACAGCTGACTGGGAGAGTGCATGTGTAGGGTCAGATGATAGTTGCAAGTCAAAAGGTATACCATGTTTCAACAGACACAGGGACCAATAGCCTTTGAACTTGCCCTTGACAGCCATATTTGTGACGGTCAATGCTGTATGAATTGATCATGAATATCAATCTCTGCAAATAGAATAATCTGCTCATAAGCGATGATTGTGGCAGTTACAATTACCTGTTCATTAATGATAATCTCTTCTAATATTATGACCTGTTTATGAATGTTAGTCTCTGCAAGAATAATCACCTGCTCATAAACTAGGATATCTACAAGTACAATCTGTTAATGAATGGCACACCCTGTATTAAACTAGTACAATAACTTGTTAGTGAATGACAATCTCTACAGCATCTGTTCATGATTGGTAATCTCTAAATACAATGCTCATGGATGATAATCTCTTCAAATACAATAATCTGCTCAAGTACATGTTCATGAAAGATAATCTCTTCAAATACAATGACCTGTTCATGAATATTTATCATTTTAACAAGTACAATTTTCTGTTCATTGAATAATTCCTTCTAGTACATGTTCATGAAAGATAATCTATCAATACAATAACCTGTTCATGAATCTTATCTTCAAATACAATTTTTCTGTTCATGAATAAATCCTTCAATTACAAGCTGTTCATGAATAAATCCTTCCATTACAACTGTTCATGAATAAATCCTTCCATTACAACTGTTCATGAATAAATCCTTCAATTACAACCTGTTCATGAATAAATCCTTCAATTACAACTGTTCATGAAAGATAATCTCTGCAAATACAACCTGTTCATGAATATGAATCTCTTAAAATAAAATAATCTGTTCATGAATAATCCCTTCAATGTACAACCAGTTCATGAAAGATAATCTGTACTGGTAATTATAACCTGTTCATGAATATGAATCTCTTGAAATAAAATAATTTGTTCATGAATAATCTCTTCAAGCACAACAACCAGTTCATGAAAGATAATCTCTGTAGATACAACAACCTTTTCCTTATCAGAGTTAGGAAGGGGAAGATTCCACCCCTAACTTAGTTGTGTGTGAAACCCTCTTCACTTGCCGCAGGATTACGAATACTCTTTAAGTAGATAGCATCAGATTATGGAGTCACAAAGTAGTGCCTTCATTCAATCTGAAATCATTAAAAACAGGTTGGACAGGTTAGTCATTCCTTAGATGACATTTGCTAAGTCTCTTCTCCTTTGCTCTAGGGAAATGGACTGGCACTTGTTTGACCTTTTCATCAAGGCAAAAAGTTACACCATGTTTTTCCCGAACAACGTCAATGCTACATTTTACAGGTTTCAGCAGTGTCTTTGTTTGGTTCCAAAGCTAAAAGACTTTCATGATAAGAACTATAGTTTTGTGTTTCTATTGCAGCAACCTCCATTTGGAATTTCGAAATGCCTCAGGACAGAGATCCGAGCTTTTTCTCATTTGTTGAAGAGATCTGGTTTCCATAGCAACCATGATTTAATGCAACTGTTTGGATTAGGTGAGTATAGTGCAGTTAGCATGACCAGTGTTGACAGACTGACAACTGAAACAACAGCCAGGTCAATTATCAGAACTCGTCTAGATGTGATGTGTTGTGTGGGTTTGGTGGTTGTTTATGGTTGATAAACTTACATTTCCTCTTTTATTGTTGACGTCCATTCATCATGACTTGTGTTAGACATTTTGGGACACTGTTGACATTACCTACAATACTATTTTGTTTATAATCATTGGACCTGCATAAATATCTAATGTTTGACACTATGGTTTTGATGGCTCCCAAATATGGCATAGTAATTGATGGAGGCCCATTTTCGTTTCCAGGCGATGATGGTAATTGTTCTTCCATAACTTATTTACAGACCGCCGCCATATAGCTGGAATATTGCTGAGTGCGGCGTAAAACTAACCTCACTCACTCACTCACTCTTCCATAACTGTCTAGCACAGGATATATCGCTTAGGTAACAGATTCAGATGAGATTCTCTTTACTTCTTGTGGAAAGGCATTTTTCTGACTAGAAAAATCTAGTTCCCCCTTGAAACTAGGTTGGAAATTTCCAGTCATGGTGTGGTTGGACTAACGACTCCATGCATAGTCCTATCTATATTGGGTAACAAATTAGACATTGTACTGTACATTTCTGTTGATTGCATGATTTACAAAGCACATGTACAGTCGATGGGTTTCTTTTCATGCTTTTAAACAAAGTGCTCAAGTAAGTTGATACACTTTGGAAGGGGTATTGATTTTTTTATTACACCAAAGATTTTATTCATCAATCAGATTGTCTTGACTAGACACCACCATTTTGTTTGAAGCAAACACAAATAATGTTAAAGGTGGAATCTAATCAGCCAAGGACATAGGTAGGTCATAAAAGGAACATTAGTTGTAAATACCGCTGGTGACACTCAGATCAGGCTGCCAAATTTCTGCCTAGTTTTTCAAAGGTGGAAAATGATGGTGTGTTATAGTTATAGTTTTAGGAACGGCCAAAAGAAAGGCCCATTTGCGCCCGCCAGTCAGTTAACTCCCTTGCCCAGAGAAGATTTACAGCTCGTAACAGCTGAACTCCATCTCCACTCGTGAACTCATGAAAAACAAATCTGTATGTCATAATGACTCTGTCATGCCTCGGAGTCGGGCATAGCGACATCAGATTTTAACTTAACTTTGTGACGACAACGGTGCCTTAGGTGATAAATGCTCTTGACAATCCCTTTTACGTCAGCAGGTGTTGCTTCACCCTGTGTTAACAGGTGTGTACAGGTATGTACATACCCTGACGACCTTCCCATCCGGTGAGGCTGTGGAAGCATGCATACCTAGTCTTCTAGGCAGGTTGATATTAAGGAATAGGATTGGCTGCTATTACATTGAGGAAACTGTTTTTATGTTGTAAAATTAACTTTTCTCAGAACGTCACGGTAATGGAACAAAGTTCATTCAGATTTGGACAAACATTAAGTTGAGGTTTCCTCTTGAAAAACATTAATTTTAAGAGTCATACTTGAAAAGCATGAATATCACCAAAATTGCATGAATTTGTACTAAAGGATGTATATTTTCTTATTTCTCTTAAAGTCATATGACTGGTGTATATAGTGCTGGTATTTAAGATCATTGACACGCTTAAGCTAATAACCGAACTTTAAAGCTTTTGGAAAGGCAATAAATTTAAATGTCCCAGTTCTGTATGAACTTTGCAAAGGATGAAAACTGATAACGGATATGGGTCAGACTGCAATCTGCATACCATGATGTCATGTATTTGAGATGGAAATGTTACCCGCTGTGCCAGTTATGTTTCTCTTTGATGTGGATCATTAGTATTATTACCATGAGCAACATTAAGCTTGTGCTTTTGATCATACATACATATTCTAATCTTGACGGAAGATGTTTATCGTTGCACATTTTTCACAACAAATATTCAACTTCACTCACCAGAAGCAACCCTACTTACTCACTCCCTACCCTCCTTACTCACTCCCAACCCTCCTTACTCTTCATCAACAAGCCTCCAATCCAATAATGAAACCATCTTTACCCACACCCACTAACCATCTTACACACGACCCGTGAAGGTCCGGGTTAGAATATTGATCTTCAGAAACCCATGCTTGTCGTAAGAGGCGACTAACAGGATGGGGTGGTCAGGCTCGCTGACTTGGTTGACACATGTCATCGTATCCCAATTGCATAGATCGATGTTCATGTTGATCATTGGATTGTCTGGTCCAGACTCGATTATTTACAGACTGCCGCCATATAGCTGGAAAATTGCTGAATGCGAAGTAAAACTAAACTCACTCACTCACTCACTCCTTCTGACACACCCTCACTTCGTCATATTGCATACCTGAAATATAGCTGGGTGTGGTGCGTACATGCATGCATGCACACACACACACGCACGCATGCGCACACACACACATATCTCTCTCTTACTCACTCTCACCAGCATCTCATCTTTAGCCTCCACCCAAACCATTCATTCTTCCTTATCCCCATCAACATACCATCATTAGCAGTCCTCATGAGCGACCAGTTACCCAATCCTGCAACCGTCTACCTCATCCCAAACTTTGTACCCTAATCCACAATTAATGCATCTTCCTTTCACAACCAGTTACAACCATCTACCTAAATACAGTCACCTTCCTTCATCAAAGTCCATCTCCATTCACAGACAACCATCAACCCTTATCCACAGCCATCTACTTCTTCAACAAGGCACGACCATTTATCTTAATCCATTCCAATCTTCCCGCAATCAACAACCATCTACCATTACAACACCTAATTCTTCCTGATTCCTATTAATTACACTACAATCCTTAACCCCAACACATACCCTACCAAACCCCCTTCCCTGTGGTTCACCACACTCAACCCCACGCAGCGCCACGCCGCGCCATGCCACACCATGCCATTGTTACCATTATCACCTTGTCTATCATACAGACCCTGAAATAAGTAAATCCAAGAAAGCCCGTGCAAGTTTTGAATACGTGGCAAGTCTACATTACCACATTCTGAAAATGAAGAAAGTCCAGGGCTTTTCTGTAAAATATGTTCATTTCAGAGACTAGACGTTAGTCTGCATTATAGCCCTGTAAGTCAGAATACCAAATTAAAAAATGAAGTACTAAATAAAAGTCAGTTTCCTGATATTATCCCTGCTTTCCATTTATATCCATTGATACACCATCTTCATAATGCACTATAGGAGTTCAGATGCCCTCCAACAGGGGTTAATAAAGCCCACATGGATTCATGCACATGGGTAGACTAATGCTTAGTCTCTGAATATATATAATTTTGATAGTAACAAACAAGCCCATTTATATTGAACTAGCACATGGGCACCAGTCTGACTTCCTGACCTGGTCAAACTGTCAACTCACGCCTTAATCAAACCAGTCTGCTTCTCCATGTTTCTCCCCCAACCTACTATCTGTGGGTGATGGCCTCCTCCCCTATGGGGTGAAGACACAGTTGTCTGTCAATAACCCCTTCCGTCAACATGGGATGTGGCCAGTATACATGTGGAGCTGCCGGGGTCGTTGTCGGCACAGGTACGTCACTGCCGCTGTAGGGGTCGTTGTCGGCACAGGTACTACAGATATGTAACCCAGGTATGTTTCTGTAGACAGACATGTACCCTAAACAAAGACAAACTACAAAAACGTACCCGGTACCCTAAACAACTGACAAGTCCATATTCCGCAACCCAAAGCCGAAACCGTATGTAGTTGTTCCCGTTCAGCTGATTGCGAGTGGTGTACGTTGTGCACCGTGACATATTCGTTACTGTGTATGCTCTTATATAACGATATCAAATGCATCTAATACAACAGTATGACCGTTCCGATGAAGAAAACTCCACAATGCAGAATGGAATCGTCCAAGGGTACGTTTCTGTATTCTGATTTTGGCTAGGGTACATTTCTGTATACAGAAACGTACCTGGGGTACACTGGGGGCCCGGTGGGCGAGCTGGCTAAGGAGCCAGGCTACTGATCCAGCGAGGTTGAGGTGCCGGGATCGAGCCCACCTGTGACCGGGTGTAAAAACCTTGGAGTGAACTTTGTGTGCAGACTCTTCCGTGTTGTCACAACCCCTAGTGTACAGTACACAACCCTGTGCACTAAAAGAACCCACGAATCCATTGGTATATGACCAGATGGTGGCCACATGAATACACGCAAACACACCTAGTTGCGGGTACAGCAACATGCAGTGAAGTTGGACAAAGTGCACCCAGCTGTGAATGGGTACCTCGTTAGGATGAGAAAGCCACAATAACTCTGGTGCGCCTAGTGGCAGCAAGAGTTGTATACTCCCCAGGGAGTTGAGATTGCTAATACGATGTGCAGTTGATATTGACATCCAATGATCGAGGGACAAAATACCAGCGCCTTGAGCATGCACTAGTGCATGGATATGTGCGCTATATAAATATCCTATAATAATAAATAAAAATATAATCTGTAGTACCCGTGCCGACAACGACCCCTTCAGCGTCACTGTCAGGGCCTGTTTGATTTCAACAAAAATGGATTGGTTAGTCATCCTTGTGTGAGAAGCTGTATAAAACCCTTGTACGGTGTTGATGCTTTGTCTCAGTTGGGTAACTGCGGCATCAAACTTATTAGCCTTAAACATTATACAGGTGTACATTTTACAGGGATGAGAATTTTCCGCGGATCAGCGGAATTCCATGAATTTCATAAGGCCAAGGGTCATTTTTTTTAATCATCTAAATCCGTTGAGAAAGGTTTAGGGGGGATGGTGTTGCTGTGTACATGATATTGTCATTTCTGAGCCAGTTTTAAAGGTCTAAAATGCCTAAGTATCAGTAGCTTCGTGTCCCCCCAACGGGCACCGCCCTGGACCCGGCTAGTTTTCAGAGTTTTTCTCAAAACTTCATTCTCATCACTCATTATGTCCAAACGCTGATAACACAATGTACAAATTACACATCGAAA